AACATTTTTGTTTATTCAAATTCCACATGAGATTTTTACACCCTTAATTTTTTTAAAAACCCCCCCCGGGAAAAAAAAAAAAAAAAAAAAAAAAAAAAAACTTTGGGGTTTTTAGATGTGCTGTAACCTTCTGATGATCAACTAAACAAGTATATTTTATTAGTAACACCTGGTTGCTACTTTACCTATTAAGTCCTGTTAAAAGCAGCAATCTAAACTTATATATATATATATACATATATTTTGGCTGTTTAGGGGTAGGAGTTTATAAGTTCTCACTTCTTCCTACCCCATTTTGAGCATGATATGTTAACTGAAACAAAAAAATCTGTATTTTCTCTTCTTTCTTATGCACTTCTTGTTACTGTGCACTATTTTATTTTATATTTGTATCATGTTCGAATAAAATTTCATTTCATTTCATTTCATTTCATTTCATAAAAAAAGCTACTTGCTTGCAAGGTTCCAATGACGTGCTTTATTTATTTCCTCTCAGATTGATCTCAACAAAGCTTTTGTGATAATTGGACAGAAAGGCTTTTTGGTGGTATTCCTTTTTTTTAATCTTTTTTTTTTTTTTTTTTTTACTATATTCTCAATACTGCGTGGTGACAAAAAAAGATTTAAAAAAAAACAAACTCTGGCCCTCTGCCAGCCTTGATGGGTATTTTAAATTTGGTTTAACTTTTTTTGTTTAATTCCTCTCATTGTATATTTGAGCAGGTTTAGACAAATATCTATTTTTCTCTATTTTCTTGTAACCATTTCCTTCCTTATGAAGATTACCACAAATTTGCTTTTCTTGAATATCATGTTCTCTTGTCCTTCCCACTCTGAAGAGTGTCGTGTCATATTTTGAAACGTGAATGTCTGGGTTATATTTCCAAAAAGTTTTGATCAAATAATAAAGAACAGATGAACAAAATTAGGTACATTCATTTTACAGGACTCCTTTAATAAGCTTTATGAAACACAATTAAAAGATTTTCTTCCCCCCCGCACTGAATAAATGTACTTAAACTAAAGCTCAGGCTACTAAAACAAAGAGCAAACAAATTTTAAGGCCTTTAATACATCTTTCCAGGGGTGCACATTAATGTGAAGGGTACTGCATGTATATCTGTACAAATTTGGAACAATGTGCTATGAGCAAGGATAAAACTGGTTAGATTTACGCAGCAGAGTAATAAACCTCTCAATGTCAAACCCATGCAATAAGTGAAATACTAATTTTAACTGTGCTGGCTTCGAGTGCCTCTATATTAAAAGTGCAAAAAGAGCCATATGCACGCCTGGGAGGCAGAGAAGGGAGAGTGAAAAGAAAGAAAGAAAGAAACGTGTCTGGCTTTTTACATATCTAAAGAAGGACAGGGAACACATTGTTCAGCCAGTCGTGTGGTTTATCTCAGAAACTACAGTTGTAAAACCTGAGTAATATGGTTCGTATCTGCTAAGTTGACAAAAAGCCCCAGCCCTCTGCAACACAGAGTCGGGCTGTCTCATTTAAGCTCTCTCTGCCGGTTTTGACTGACAGACGGACAAACTGAGTGACAGTCGAGGCGCTGCACCAGACGACGAATGCTTCCCAAAGCTGAGCATCCAGATAAAAGCCACCGCTCGCATTGCTTCTCTGTCACTCACGGCTTCGTGGGCCTGACACGCAGAACGCGTCTCTTTCCGACTCCTTCTGAGTCGGTTCCCAAAGGTGGACAAGGTGAAGGTGGGTCCAGGCGAGTGTGTGTGCGAGTGCGCAGGTTGCAGGCTCGAAACAAAGCAGACAAACCCACCGACGGATTTGTTGACATTTCCGCACCTCGCGAAGCAGGGATAACGCCGAGAGAAAAAAAAAGGTCAATTCATATTTGCTCAGTTAATTTCTTTTCAGACTAGACTGGCTGTCGCATCACAGCTGAGTGACTGTATCCTAAACAGAAACAAAGATTAACATAACAAGACAATCAGGGGAAGCATCCCAGTGTGAAGGTGAGGAGTCATTATATTAGGAGGCAACAAACGAGCGACACGTGAGGCACTCATCCCCGTAGACTTGGGTGCATTCAATCAACTCGCATTTTACAAGGCCATCACAGGCAAGGGTTTAATTGTGTGAAGATGCGCTGCTATAACTATGGGCAATAAAGAAATGAATAAAATGTCACCGTAGCAATAAACTGAAAATAGTGTGTAATTATAGATTTATTCTGGGGTATGTTTTTGTCCCGAATACTGTTCAGGTGTGTAGAATCAGAAAATTTCCCGGCCGACGACGCAAAGAAGACCGAAAGATCTGAAAAGCAACCGACCATGCTCTGATTTAAAAACGCTGTAAAACACACGAGAAGCAAAAGCCGGTCGTATGTGTTTGTCCTGCAAGCGTTACAAGGACATTTCTAAGTCACTGAGACTCTAGTAAACACTCTGATGGCTTTCTGGTTGTTTTATTTATTTTATTTTTTTGACAAAATATGTTCTTGAGTTTAAAAAAAAAAGAAGCTAAATAAGACTCACCTCGGCAAACTGAAGCCGGCTGAACGTGCTGCCGGGAAGCGTGGTCAGCTTGAAGTTCTTTTTTGGTGCCACCCAGGTCTCCATGATCTCCAGCTTGCTTGTTGCCAGGTTGGTGGCGTGGTGCTTGACCAGGTAGCCCTGGAACTGGTCCAGGTGGAAGTAGAGATGCACTGACACGGGGTGGCCCATTGGGAAATACCTGGCACAAAAAAAAAAAGAAAAAAAAAAAGGATAAATCCATTAAGGAAAACCTCAGACTATGGAGCAGCTTTTCACAGATAGGAGTGGAAAAGAGGGAGAAAGGAAGATTTTCAGGATTTATTTAGGTAATGTCTAGAGGGAGTCTGCCTTGCACATGCTAATGTGGCCGGATGCAAATGTGTACTTGCTGTAAAGGTTAGTGGGGAGTCAATGTGCTCTGTAATTGTGTGACACGGTGGACATTAATTCAATGACCTTTAACAGAAATGTAATCTGTCAAAGACATGTCGGCAATACAGATTATTCCAGGGAAGTGCTGCTCGTGGGCTGTTAAACCCACACTTATGCGACTGGAGTTTATACGTTTTATTATCTGGGCCTGAACGCTGAACATTATTATGAAGGACACTGTAATAACAAAACTACCCCTTAAATCATCTCACCTGGGTATTCTCATTACTTCCATAACTGCAGGTTCATCTTAGATAAGGATCAGAAACATGATCGGCAATTTAGCAAAGAAATTCAGCACAACATAAAAAAGGTGGAGCATTTTTGTGAGAGGTGAAAAGATGGGCGTAACTTTTGAAAATCTCAGTGCGACATACCCAAACGAGAAGGAAAAACTGCATTTACTGTCTCTTTTTTTTTTTCGATTTGCTGCCGTAGCTAAGTTTAGGTCTGATCAAAAGGAAAATAAAAACAATGGAACATTTCGACAGGATATTTTTATACAGCTTAGGAATCTGTAAGTACTAAATATAAACTGGTGTAAACATGCTTTTTTTTTTCCAGCCCCAGTGCAATTTACTGACTATTTTATATATGTTTGACAGTTCATATGATTTATATATACTTATTAGGTCAATCAATCAATCTGTCAAATTTTATTTGCATAGCACCTTTCAGCAATAAGGCATCACAAAAATACAAAGTCATAGTTGCATGTGCTTGTAATACTCACCTACTTTTCCATCTATGCAAGTCAGTAACTGATATCATTTGAAAGCAGCGTCAACAATATCCACACAAAAAACAAATATCATTAAAACTCATCCTTTTCTCCTTTAGATTCAAGAATAAAAATAATCAAGCTAGCCAAAATGCACTAGTGGTTGAGGCAGCACATACACAGCGGTGGGGGGCAGCCCTGACCTGACGTCACAAATGATAAACACAAAATAGCTGAAGCTCGAACAATTTCAAAGATGCGGCCTACTGCGTCATGTTACGGCCTGTGCATTGCAAATGGGATGCAGTGAAAATTAAAGTGTGTGCAAAAGCAAGTGTCTCAATACCTTTGGTGATATAGTGCACCTAAAAACTCTTGCAAACCACAAAGAGAATAACGGCAAACGACATATCTATTGTTAAGTGGGTGTGCGAGTACTGATGCAAAGAAAGGAACAAAGAACAACGTAAGCTGGCAGCACGGAGTTGAACTGGGTCATCCAGTTATCTGAAGCAGAATGAAGATCTCGCCCTGTGATTAGACTGTTTATTTGTGCGTGGCTTCATATGTGGCAGAGGGCTGCCCTGAGGCCAGACAGCCGCAGCAACTTCTGGAAAAACATAAAAGGACTGAGCTGAGAGTGGGC